TTTTTTTTGAGACTATGTAGTTGAGACTGACCTGGAACTCACTATGTAGCACAGGCTGGTCTGGAACTCACAGTGATCCTCCTGCCTCAGCCTCCCAAGTGCTGGAGCTACAGGTGTGCGCTACCACGCCCAGCCCTGGTAAATATTTTTGAGTTCCTCCCACGTATGCCCTAGGTATTGTCCTGGGCACCGAGCAGGGAACAATTCTCTACCCTCCCTTAGCTGACAGTCTAGTAAAAACAGACAGGATTAATGTGAATAAATATGAATAATTCAGATTCTAGAAATTATAAGAAACTACATGAGTTATAAGAAAATGTATGTTGCAGAAAATATATGATAAAAGAGGCCTTTCTTTAAAAGGTAGAATTTAAATTTAAAACTGAAAGATCAGAAGGCGGCAACATGACTCTTTGCCGGGCGCAGTGGCACAAGCCTATAATCCCAGCACTCAGAAGGCCGAGGCAGGAGGATCACTGCAAGTTTGAGATCAGCCTGGGCTACATAGTGAGTTCCAGGTCAGTCTCAACTACACAGTAAGACCCTGTCTCAAAAAAAAAAAAAAAGAAGGGAGGCAGCCGAGATCCAGGACAGGTTACTCTGAGCAAATGAACTTGAGACTGGAATGAACTTGATCAGAACACAGAAAGACCCAGGTGATGGGAGAAGGGTGAAAAGTGAAGGGAGTGCGGAGAAAGATGCAAGCAAGGGTCAGTGCGTGGCCTGTAGAGTTTTTCTGTTGTAATAAAGACCTCCCTCAGGGCTGGAGGGTGTAGCTTAGTGGTATGATATCTGCCTAAAACGCTGGAGCCAACACCACCACCCCTCCAAAAAAGTTTGGCTTTTCTCCATTTGCAATGAGACATCACTGAATCTGCCCTTTAGAGTGGTTGTGTAGGCCCGGGGGTTTAGCTCGGTGGTGCCACATCAGATGCAGGATGATCAGTCTAGAGGCTGCTGGTGCAGTAGTAAAAGTGAGAGGTGAGGTTGCTGGACTAGGGTTGAAGCAGTAGAGACAGAGAGATTTAACTGAATTCATGGAACAGATATTATAGTTAGTCAGTGTGATCTTTTGGGGGTGGATTTGATGAGTAGCCCATCAGAAACAAAGAATATTTAAGATAACACCTAAGTTTTTAGTCCAAGCAACTGGGGGGTGGTGGTGCCATTTTCTGATGTGAGGAAGAAAAAAATTGAGGAGATGGGCTGTAGGAAGGGAGCCCAAACACTAAATAAAAATGCTGAGCCACCAGTTGCATCATAACAAAGGAACTCATAAAAAACTAAAGGCTAATCTAGATCTGGGTGCTATCAAAGAATCAATGGCATTTAGAACTGCAGGCCTGGACGAAAACACTTAGTGCCTCTGTGCAAAGGGAGGTGAAAGCAGACTTGAGTACTGAGTCCTGGGGTGCCTCCCTAGTGTTTATCTGATACAGCAGCAGGAAAGTAGGCAAGTGGTATAGACAGGGCAGTGACGGGATGTGTTCCATGCTTGCTAGAGGTAGAGAAAGGGGGTCGGGGCCTTAGTTATGGGGCTCAGCAAAAGAAGTCTGCCATCTGTGGTTTGATGGGTGCAGATTGTGTGGTGTACTGTCATAGAAGTTTTATTGAAACAGAGAGAGAGAGAGAGAGAGAGAGACAGAGAGAGAGAGGAGAGGACAGTAGAGAAGTGAGGAAGAGCAGAGAAATGAAGAGAAACTAGTACACTATAGAGCACAAGGGGTGGGGTTTTAACTTTCTTTAAGGGATGAGTGATTTAAAAGCCTGTTTGCAGGTGAATAGCAATGATGGGAATGCAAACATGGACGTCTAGAATTGCAGAAGCGGAGTGTTTGAGAAGGGAACAGGAAGCTGACTGCCAGAACACAAATGGAGGTCCCGCTCTTTGAGGGAGGGAACAGATCGTCTTGGTGCCAAGAGTGAAAACGCACTAGTGGGAAGAGGCAGGTGGCCTGTTATGGGGCTAGGCAATTGGCTGCTGGTCAGTGGCCACCACTCCTCACCCTGTCCTTGTCCTGTGGGAGTGATGAGCATTGGCTCTGCCAGGAACGTGAACAAATGTGTGTGCTGTGGTCCACACCCACATCACTAGACAAAGCCCAAAGGCCCACCTAGTAAGTCCAGAATTTCATGAAAGCCTCAAGAGCAAGAACTGTGGAGATGCCCTGAGCATCTCCGGCAGGGTGGGGGGCACTGGATTGGCCGGCTAGTGCCTGGGCATCGCAGGTGGCAGACCCTCAGCACTGGAATCAGGGAGGTGGCAAATACCAGCCTCCCACAGGGGTTTCTGGCTGTGGTGGGAATATCTGGTCAACGCACTTTGGCAGGAGTGAACGGGAAGGGGTGTAGAAGGGTGGGAGAAGGCCTGAGGGCAGATGGACAGCATGCTCCTCCGCAGTACCGAGGAATCCATTGTTTGGTCACTGAACATGGGGTCTTTGGCTGGACAAGAAAGGTTATTTTTCTTCTGTGTTGGCTACCATTCCCTGAACATTTTTTTGTGTGGTTTGTAGCTGAAGGGTGGGGTGTCGGGGGGGATAAGCTTCAGTTCCTCTATTTTAGTCTATTTTCTTCTGCCCTTTGCTCTGCCCTTTTCTTGGCCTCCTTTCTCTTCTCTCCACCCTCTTTTCCTCCCACAAAAGTGGAAAACACATGCTCAGTCCCAGGCAAATATTAACCCTGGGCAAGGCCTTCAAGAGAAGGTATAAATCCTAGGAAAGTGAGAAGGGAGGACCCAGAGCTAGCAGAGCAGGAGGCAGACCTGGTGTTCCGGGTCAGGCGGCTCACAGTCACCTTCATGTGCACAGTGTGCCCTGCTGGGGGTGGGGACAGACGCCCCGTGTCAGGGCACCCACCAATAACTACTTCTGGAAGCCTGGGCTGGTCCTTGAGAGAGTCCTAAATGGGGTGTTGGAGCCCCTGACAGGGCAAAGGAACTGAGCAGCTACTTTGAAACTCTGCATATGTGAAGGGGCATGAGGGTGGCTGTCCTGTGGGTCTGGGCAGATATGCCCAGGATATACAGTTCCTCCTTCCCCACAGCCAGGGCCTCCTGCTCCTCTCAAACCTGAGTGGTTGCTTAGGGATCTGCTGAGCCAGTGGGACTGCCCACCCTGGGCCCAGAGCCTGTGGAGCTGCTCTGCCAGTCAGGGAATTTAACATCCACATTTTTGCACCACCTAAAAGGGACTGGATGCAAGGAGCAAGAGAGAAGTACTCTCCTATGTGCAGTGGCAGATGGGCAGGGCAACCATGGCAGGAGTTCCAAAGCAGTGCTGTTAGAAAGGTGGGAATATTGGTGGTGTGCATTTTGTTCTGAACTCCCCCTAACCCTGCCAGAGCAACCAGTCACCAAGAGCCACTGTAGTTTGCAGTCGAGGGTCCAGGTACAATCAGCCCTGTGACCTTGGACAGGTCCCCAAACCTCTGCTGTGCCTTCATGGAATGCTCTCTTGTGGAAATGTTGCCCCACCCTAGATTGCTCTACTTCCAACTATGTAGATGGTACAATTTTTAACTGGACAGAAAATACAAAGTTGGGGGAAGAAATCATACCATAATTAAAGAGAGTTTAAACTTTTCAGCTTTACTGAGATACAATTTAATCAAGGGTTTGTTTTTGTTGTTATTTTGTTTGTTTGCTTTGTGTCTCTGAACCCAGAGGTGTTCTTTCACTAAGTTAAATTCCCAGCCCTTCTATTTTATTTTTTGAGACAGGGCCTTGATAAATTGCCCAGGCTGTCTGGAACTTGTGATCCTCCTGCTTCAGCCTTGAGCTAACTGTGATTACAGGCACGCACCGACACAATCAACTCAAAGGATGTTTTAAATGCTCCCCATTTCCAATAGATCCTCACACCTCTTTCCAGTGCTAAAGTCGGACAACCCTTTTATTGAGATAGGAAGAGCCAGGTACTTCCTGTGATAGTTCAGTTCAACTGGGTTTACTACAACTACCAATAATGACTGTTTATATTTACTAGGCATTAGGCACGGTTTTAGGTAAATGACTTTCTCTAATCCTCACAAGGACTCAGCAAGTTAGGAGCCATTACTCTCATTTTATTGATAGTCACTCTCTGTTTAGCATAGTCTAGATCTTGCCTAGAAAATTCGCCCCAAAATTAGAATTCTCCCTCTAGAGAGCTAAATTTGTCTGGCCAGAGCTCAGCCCCACCCCACCCCAAGAATAGGAATTAGAATCCCAGGTATCACAACAGAGTTTTCCAATTTTAGGCTTAAGCAGGTATTATGAGAAGCTTTTATATATATTAAAAAAACCAGCATATTTTCTGCTAGCTTTTTTGGGACCAATAGTTTGAGAGGGGAATAAATTCCCGGTAGGGTCGGTGGTGATTGGGTGAGATTTTCTTTAAAAAAGGACAGTCCCTTTCATTCAAAGAACTGTGGAATTCTGGTTGGAAATGGATTTCTTTGTAATTAATCTGTGAGCTTCTTTGGATGTTAAATTCCAAAACTCCAGAATTCACATTTAGGGTCACAAAATCTTGGACATTTATTTGCCAAACCGATGTTATCCGCAAGGATCCCACCCCTGCCCCTTCTGTTTTGGAGAAGAGCGCAACCCATTCTAGGGCTTTTGCAGGAAGTCTTCAGGCCCTGGCGTCCGGCCCCTTTCAACATCAAAGCCCCCCTGAGAGCAAAGGACTTTGAAAAGATTGGAAAAGCTCAGGCTCCTTATCGCGTCCTCGCTCACTGCCTTGCGGGTCGTAAATTCCGAGCCTCCGCGGCCGCTCTCACTCCCCTCGGCTCTTCTAGGCCCAAGGTCTCAAAGGACAAACCTGTCACTCTTTGTGCCGCCCTCCTCCCCCGGTCCCGATCTGGACTGCAGGTAGCTGGGGACAGAGGGGCGCAAGATCTGGGACTTGTTAGAAAGACGCGAAGGGCGCCCCTGCTCCGCCAGGATAACTGCCTGGGGACCGGGCTCTCCTCCCTCAGTCTCCTTCCGGGCGGGGCAGGG